CTCCCCCTCTCGCACTCTGTCTCTCTCTCTCAAAAATAAATAAATATTAAGAAATAAAAAAATAAAATTAGAATACACAAAAGGACAAAAGAAAAATAAAATTACCAACAACCCAACCACTCAAAGGTAATCACTATGAACACTGTTATATTTTTGTCTTTTTTTTTTCCCTTGGGCTTCTCTTTTTGAATTTACAAAACTTGGGTATGACTCATTTTGTTTCTAGCATTTTTTCACTTTTAACATATCACCAATGTCTTGACATGTCCTATTTTGCTACAATGACTTATTAATGGATACACAGTATTCCAATTAATAAACATATTGTCACGTAAACCACTTCTCAATTATTAGATTATCTGGGGTTTCTCCAATTTTTCCCATTATATGTAATATTTCAATGAACACTTTTGAGGCTAATCTTTGCATACATCCATGAATAAATTCTGAAAAGTAGAATTACAGGGTCAGTGGGTGCATATCTTTTTTAAACTCTTGATACATTGTTTTAAAGCTTTTGAACAGCACCCTGAAAAGTTGAAGCTGAACGGATTTATGTTGCTACAACAGGTCAATTCTTACTATGGGTAACAGGGAAGAAGGCTAGAGGTGGGCCCAAATAGAATACATGGGTCTTGACAAAAAGCCCCAGTGGGGAAGGGGAAGGAGTCATCCTTTGGGAGGAAGGCAAAGTGGACCAAACTTGGCTCCTCAACTGTCTCTTTGGTAGAGCCCAACACAGTGATGCATCTTGTCTCTATCTAGACATTTCCTGGGGCTTGAGGCTACCTTGGGGTTACCCTATGCTTACCTGTTATCTGGTTGTTTCCCATAAGTGGCATAGTTCAGTTTAAAACGTTTTGCCTAGAAATTTAAAAACAAACAAACTAAAACAGAGAAGGGCATTTCAAGAGCCAAACAATATTTGAAAAAAACTGAAATAAATTACCTTGGCCAAAACATCTCCCCCTCTCTAAGCCTCAGCTTTTTCTCCTGTATAAAATGGGGGGGTTGCACGGATGATCGCTAAGGGCACTGCCAGCTCCATGGTTCTATGAGCCCAGGTGTGCCAGCTTGGTGCAGCTGTAAGCTAAGTAACTGTGGGAAGAGCAGAATGTAACTCTCTTGAAATGTGTCCTCACTACCGCCAGCCTGTTCTAGTTTCTCAGTCAGGCAGAGGTCTAGGGTTTCAAGTCTTCTGTTAAGAGAGGCCGAGGTGCACAGCGCAAAGGGCATGGATTTTAGAGGCAACCAATCTTCAGTTTGCATCCTGGCTCTGTACTTACTACCTGTGTTGCCTTGGGGCAAGTTATTTCACTTCCCTGAGCTTCAGTTTCCTGGTCTGTCAAAGATAACAATGCCTACTGTTCAGGGTTCTTATAGGATTAAATTAAATAATGTAAGTATACAGTAGGGATTCAATAAATGATAGTTATCGATGACAATAAAAATAGCAACATCATCATTATCTAAGTGTCCTTACAGGTGTGGCTCCGGGAAGGGGTTTCCCATTAATTTTATGCAAACACTTCTCGGCTGTGGCCAAATCTGCGAATTCTACAAAACAGTAGCCAGCTGGGATTCTGGAAAGAAAGCAAACAAGAGAAAGAGAATGGTTAAAGGTGGGATTCTCAGATGAGACTAAGCCCTGGCCTGAGGGGAAGGAAAAATGTTTTTCTAACCAGAGCCTGTACTGTTTTTTGTTCCCTCTTATATTCTAGTTCAAAACTAATTTACAAACCTGAATGTAAGGATTGCCAATCTGGGCCAGTCCCACACTCATCTATCTAGTAAACATTTACTTATGTACTATATCACCTGTGAAGTATTTTTGTCAAGAATATTTAATATAATATGGGGCACCTGGGTGGCTCAGTTGAATGCCTGACTTTGGCTCCAGTCATGATCTCATGGTTCATGAGTTTGAGTCCCACATCGGGCTCGCTGCTGTCAGTGCAGAGCCTGCTTTGGATCCTCTGTCCTCCTCTGCCCATCCCCCACTTGCACTCACTCTCTTTCTCTCTCAAAAATAAACAAAAAATATATATATTTAATACAACCCAATCAAACCCTTAGATCTAATGTCCAGTTTACAGGAAATATTAGGGACAGAACAAGTAAAACACCACCAAAAGGAAGCAAATAAGTCCAGAAAGTTAAACTAGATTCCAGAATGTAGAACCTTATGTAAGACAATTGGTCTTACCTCTTTAAAAAGTCAGTGCTACAAAAAAAGATAAGAGGTGAGCATTTTTTCTTCTTTTTTTTTAATGTTTACTTCTTTTGGGGGGAGAGAGAGAGAGCGCACGAGCACAAGTGAGGGAGGGAGAGAGAAAGGGAGACACAGTCTGTGCTGACACCTCAGAGCCTGGAGCCTGTTTCAGATTCTGTGTCTCCCTTTCTCTGCCCCTCCCAGGCTTGCGCACTGTCTCTCTCTCAAATATAAATAACATTAAAAAATAAATAAATAGGGGCGCCTGGGTGGCTTGGTCAGTTAAGCGTCCGACTTCGGCTCAGGTCATGATCTCACAGTCCGTGAGTTCGAGGCCCACGTCAGGCTCTGTGCTGACCGCTCAGAGCCTGCAGCCTGTTTCAGATTCTGTGTCTCCCTCTCTCTCTGCCCCTCCCCTGTTCATGCTCTCTGTCTCAAAAATAAATAAACGTTAAAAAAAAAATAAAAAAATAAAAATAAATAAATAAATGAATGAGACAGGAGATGATCCTTTAGTTCATTAAGTGTGATGACTGAGTGTTCATACTTTTGTGATAAGTACCTTCCTCAAACCCTGTTACAACTTTAGCACACTACTCATCTGACTTGGGGGAAAAAAATTTTTTTTTTAAAGCTATAAAAAGCTATTCTTGGGGCAAATATAAAAATTTAAATGTAGACTGGCCACTATATGGGAATTATTTGGATATCGTTTGATGGGTATCAGGGAATCACTGTTAATGCTGTTAGTATGATAGAAGCATTGTGGTTATGTCCAGTTTTTGGCAATGTATGCTTAAATATGTTGTGGTAAACTGTCACAACATCTGTGACTTACTTTCATATGATTTAGCAAAAAGAAACATGTATCTACATCTATCCAGTTAGAGAGATGAGGAAAATATGGCAACACGTTAACAAAATTCAGTGGTGACTGTATTAGTGTTCACTGTACCATTCTTTGTAGTTTTATTTGAAAATTTTCATAATTTAAAGTGGTTTTTTTTCTTGATCACCTACCACAGGTCAGGCTGATACAGAGCTGAAGAACAAGATTCCTATCCTCAAGAAACTTACAATCTGGCTGGCCTGACAAAGTAAACCCATGGACCCTAATTGCGAGATGTCTAGGAGATCCCCCATATTCTATTTTTTAAAGAGACGGAAGTAGGAGAATATGGCTATATCCTCTGACATCCCTTCTACTATGAGATTTATATTGAAAACAGTTAATTTTCCTTAACATCATCCTTACAGGTATCACCGGTGAAATAATCCTAACTTTTCTGGAAATATTACTCAAGATCCTTAGTTCCAATAAACATATGGACACAAAGCCAAGAAGGTATGGGTAATAGCAGTGCTTGTGCCCAAGGATCACAGAACAGGATCTATGAGCTCCATGTTTGTTGATGCTAAGAAGAATGAAGGGCCAAATCTGTGTCTTCTATGTGCGAGAATCTTGAGGCTCACAGATGTGAAGACCACCATTAGTAAGAGCTACCCACTACTGGGGCACCTGGGTGGCTCGGTCAGTAAAGCAACTAACTCTTGATTTCCGCTAGTCAGGATCCCAGGGTTGGGGTTATTACTGAGGATGATGAGATTATACACAATGTGGGCTAGCTAAAATGTAACACAGATTTCTGGTGGGCTGCAGTTAAGCTTGGAAGGGGCGTGGGTTCCTTGGAATGCCAGAGGCCTGAATGCATTATGCCCTAGCCGGGAGGCCAGACCTTCCAGGTGTTTCTGCAGTCCTTGGGGAACTCCCTTATCTATACATTGCATACAAAGTTTAGCAAAATAATAGGACACAGAGCCACTTGCCATATTTCTCTGATTTGATTAGTCTCTTGTGATTATTCACCTTTTAGTCAGGCACCCTTTGTTTTTGCTTGCCTGAAATGTTATACGCCCTTTGAACATAAATGAGAGTATAAGTGAGGCAAACAGGGTCTTAGTCTGTGAACCCTGACCCCGTGCCTTCTCCTCTCTTTCTTAGCAAAGAGTGGAGTAATCTTTCATCCATCAGGGCAGGGTTTGCTGGCCATTCCCAGCAGGATCAAGCCCAGCCTCGGACTCCCCACTGAATGTGGAGCCTGCTTAAGATTCTCTATCTCTATCTCTCTCTCTCTCTTTGCCCCTCTCCCCTGCTCTCGTGCCCTCTCTAAAAAATTAAAAAAAAAAAAAAAAAATTCAATCATGGACTTGGAAAAAAAAAAAAGAGCTGAAGACTACAAAGCACTCACTATGGGCCACGTTCTGTGTTGGCCATTTCACATGCACCATCTCTCACTGACTGAATCGTCACACTAACTCTGCGAGGTGAATGAAACCATTACTCCCATTTAGAAGGGGACACGGAGACCTAGCAGGATTCTACAGTAGGCCTTAACCCACACAGCTGGGATGTGCCACAGGTTTGAGTTGAATTCTGACTACATTCTTTCCCCAACATTTTATTGTAAAAAATTCCAAACATAAAAATGAAAAGAATTGGGGGCACCTGGCTGGCTCAGTCAGAAGAGCATGCAACTCTTGGTCTCGGGTCATGAGTTTGAGCCCCACATTGGATGAAGAGATTACTAAAAGAAAAAGAAAACACTTAAAAAAAAGAAGAATTGTATAGCAAACACCTACATATCCACCACCTATAATTAACCCTTTATTATACTTATTTTGTTACACAATTATCCATCTATCCATCCCTCTACCCACTTATCATCCTTATTTTCTGATACATTCCAAAATTAGGTTTTAGATATTGGTATGCTTCCCTCAATTACTTCAACATGCATATTATTCAATTATTGTTTACAGGTTTTTTTTTGTTTTACAAGCAGTGACATATACACACAGAGAACTGCACAAATCTTCTAGACACTGAGTTATTTTTACCATACATCAATTTTGTATATTCTACAAGTTTAAATAAATGGAACCATACAGTAAGGCTTTTTTCATTTAGCATAATGCCTTTTTTTTTCTTCAGGTAAACTCCACACCCAAGGTGGGGCTCAAATTCATGACCCCCAAGATCAGGAATCACATGCTCCACCAACTGAGCCAGCCAGGCACCCCTTCATTCAGCCTAATGATGGAGATTCATTCACGCTGTTACTATATAAGTAGTTTGTTCTTTTTTATTGCTGAGTGGGATTCTATTGTATGAAAACACCAATATGTATCTGTTTACCTATCTGTGGATATCTGGACTGCTTGCAGTTTTCAGCCATTGTCCTGAAGCTGTTATGAACACTCTTTTCAATTCCTATTTTTGGTGGATAGATGTTTTCATTTCTCTTGGGTAAATACCTAGACTAGACTTGCTCAGTCATAAGGCAGATGTATATAAGAAACTGCCAGACTCAGGGCTCAATCCCACGAACCATGAGATCATGACCTGAGCTGAAATCAAGAGTCAGACACTTAACTGACTGAGCCACCCAGACACCCCCCACTCAACTGCATTCTTAATGATTCTTTTAATGTTTATTCATTTTTGAGAGAGAGAGAGAGAGAATGAGCAGGGGAGGGGCACAGAGAGAGGGGGAGACAGAGAATCCCAAGCAGGCTCTGTGCTTCACACTGAGCCCCACCTAGGGCTTGATCTCACAACCGTGAGATCATGACCTGAGGCGAAATCAAGAGTTAGTCACTCAACTGACTGAGCCACCCAGGCACCTCTGGTCTTCTTTTTTAAATTTGCATTTACTCATTTTACAGTATTCTTATAAGCCTCTTCAAAGTCTTTTATCAAGTGAGGCTGAGTAAAAATGCAATGTGTCTGTAAGTGTCAGCATAAGAAAGAGCTAGAGTTTAGTAACGGATAGGAAGACATAGTTCCAAATCTCATTTCAGTAAAGTAGAAAGTACTACAGAATGTTTGTTTTCATACCAATAGCTGATTATCTGGGGCCTTCTGTCTACAAGAGTGAAAAAGAAAAATATTTAGGCTAGCATGATGTATCAGTCAGAAAATCCTAGGTATGAAGCGTCTCAGCCCCTCTGGCCAACCTAGTAGTATTTAAGTTCTAACAAGCACCCTTATCCCATGTGATTGACTAACTAAACCTTTCTTTGTACATTTACAGATCATGCATCCTTTCCTAGAAAGAACAGAGCTGTTCTCTCCTGTACCACCCTGGGCACCAAGGAACCAAACTCCACCACCACCACCAAGGAACCAGGCCCTTTGGCAATACCTCTGAGCCCTGTGACAACATCTGTCGCTGGCACCACTGAGCCTGTGTGTAATCAAGAACTGTCGTAGAGGGGTGCCTGGGTGATTCAAGAGGTTAAGCAACCGACTCCTGATTTCAGCTCAGGTCATGAACTCACAGTTTGAGTTCAAGCCCCACATCGGGCTCCGCACTGTCAGAGTGGGGATTCTCTCTCTCTGCCCCTCCCATACTCTCTCTCTCTCTCAAAATAAGTAAAATAAACTTAAAAATTAAAAAACAAAACAAAACAAAAAACAATTGTCATAGACCACTGCACTTCCTTAATTAATTGCCCTAAATTACTTTTAAAATCTCTGGGCCAGGAGAAACCTTGGAGTGGGCGTGTGTGTGTTGTTTTGTTTATTTATTTTTATTTATTTAAAAAATTTTGAATGTTTAGCTATCTTTGAGAGAGAGACAGAGAATGAGTGGGGGAAGGGCAGAGAAAGAGAGGGAGACAGAGAATCTGAAAACAGGCTCCAGGCTCTGAGCTGTCAGCAGAGCCCGATGAGGGGCTCGAACTCAGGAACGGTGAGATCAAGGCCTAGGCTGAAGTCAGATGCTTAACCAACTGAGCCACCCAGGCACCCCTGGAGTAGGCTTTTGGACAAGAGTCTGCCTTCTCCTCCGGTGGCTGACCTCCTGAATAAAGCTCCTATTCTTTCAAATTAAAACTCCTCTCTTGGGGGTGGGAGGGCGAGAAGAAAAAACAACTCATCTCTAGAGTATTGGCCTTTCCAACTATAGGCAACCAAACCTGGGTTTCAGTAACAGGTATTGAGACTCTGAATACACAAAGTACCTGTCAACCAAATAGCCAAAACTGACTGCAGTTCATACCTCTCATCTGTATTTTTCAACCATGTGATGTTTTATTTTTTTTTTAATTTTTTTAATGTTTATTTATTTTTGAGAGAGAGGCAGAGCTTGAGCGGGGGAGGGACAGAGAGAGAGGGAGACACAGAATCCGAAGCAGGCTCCAGGCTCTGAGCTGTCAGCACAGAGCCCGATGCGGGGCTCGAACTCACGAACCGTAAGATCATGACCTGGGCCGAAGTCGGATGCCCAACCGACTGAGCCACCCAGGTACCCCCAGCCATGTGATGTTTTAGCAAGCTACTTTAGTAGAGTATGTGGTAGAGTAGCTGCTCAGTAAATACTGACAATTGATAAAAGATCCCTCCCTTTTCTAACTAGAACCCTAAGGAAAACTAAGACCCCCTCCTCCCAAGAGAAAGAAGAATCTGGAGGCAATATAGCACTACTATCTCAAAATATTCTCTGCATTTTGTTGTTTCCATATTTACTGTTTCATCTCCCTATTAGAATGTAGTAAACTGCATGAGAGGAAGGACTATGGTTTGTTTCAGCCTCCTATCCAGGGAACCCAGAACAACAGCACATAGTATTATTTCTATAAATAACTTTTTAAGTGAATGACACACGAGAGTTAAGAGCACTCATGGCTTTAAGAACAGACCTGAGTCCTGGCTTGTCATTTAATAGCTCTGTAAACTTTAAGACAGTTATGAAGCTTCTCTAATAATAGTACTTAGCTCAGATGTATTTGTCTGACTTTAGGGGCACCTGGCTGGCTCAGTCGGTGGAGCATGCGACTCTTTATGTCAGGGTTGTGAATGCAAGCCTCATGTTGGGTGTAGAGATTACTTAAAAATAAAATCTATTTAAAAAGTGATTTTAAAGCATTTATTACTGTGGCACCTGGGTGGCCCAGTAGGTTGGGTGTTGGACTTTGGCTCAGGGCATGACCTCATAGTTCATGGGTTTCAGCCCCGCATTGGGCTTTGAGCTAACAGAGCAGAACCAGCTTCAGATTCTCTATCTCCCTCTCTCTCAGCCCTTCCCCCGCTCTCTTTCTCTTTCTCAAAAATAAACAAAAAAAGTGCTTATAACTAAGCATACTGTAATCTGTTTATATTTATTGAGCATATACCATATGCCAGACACTGTTCTAAATGATGAACGTGAATTAACTCATTTAATCCTCACCATAACTCTTTGAGGGCGATGCTGTTATCACCTCCACTTTCATAGTTGTGTCAGGAGATGGAGAGGTTAAGTAATTTGCGGAAGGTCACAATAGTAGACATAACTTTCAGTCTGGTTCCAGAGTCCAGTCCTCAAGCAATATGCTACACTTCCTCTCAATAAGCCCCCAAAATGTTAGCGTTTCTAACGTTATATTAACTATTATTAGGGGTGAGAAGCCCTGACTTTGTGATGTTTACACTCTCAGAATGACACTTGCAGCACGGTCTATTAACGGAGAATTGAGAAGATCGAAGGAGAAAATGTACCCAGTGAGGCGGTTTCGGATAATTTTGACGCTCATTACGGTCTCCCCCATGGTGGCAAAGGCTCTGGAGATGAAATTCTCATCCATGTAGGGCTCCAGCTGCGTAAATACAAGAGCAGAGCGATTCAGGCCAGCCAGCAAGCAGGCTCCTCAGTCCGGGTTCCAGAGCCCACGCGGGTTTGGCTACGCGATGCTGGTGGGGGCGGGGTGAGGGAGGGGAGATTTTCATCTACAGAGTGGCCTGATCCCCACCTTTCAATCCCTTGCCTCCTTCCCCTCAAACTTGCTCCCTTTAGGGGGCCTCCCTTCTGGATCTAGTAATCCCTCCAGTCCTAGAGCCACAGCGCCCTTCAACCTTGGGATTCTGCCATGCTATCCCCCTAAAGAACCTCCCTTTCCCTTCCATGAACCCAGGTGAAAGGCCAGAAACCCCCACCCTCAGACTCGGTCCCTTCTTCTAAATGCTGGGACCCTCCTGTGTCACCCAAAGAACTCCCCTCCCCATTCACTTCCACCCTTTTGGGATTCCAAGACCCTTCCGCCTCAGACTCTTCCTCCCCCGTGACACTAAGAGTCGTCCTCCTCGGACCCGCGCAGCCGCCCTCACTCACATCGCCCATCCACAGGCTGGCCGCCATGTCCGCAGCCGGCCCGGAATTCCGTGGGCCAAGGAGGCCAGCGCGGTAGCCAGACCGCGGGGTCCGGGACCGCCAAGGAGCATGCGCCTCGGACGCCTTCTGCGCAAGCTCTGAAACTCCAGCGCCCAGGGCCGCGCCCGGATTTGCCACTCCGGGTTTTTCCGACGATTCGGCTGGGCGCAGAGTTCCTGGATCCCTGGGGGCGGAGCTACGCCGGAGTCGGCGGGATGGGGCGGAGCAGACGTCACTGCCGGCACGCGGTTGCTCCAGTAATGGGGTTTCTCGGGTTTCTCTCTGTGTTCAAATACAAACGTACTATAAAATTTTGCTTATTGTGAAAAAAAAAGAAAAAAAAAAAACACTGCAAATATAAGCACACTTTTTAGAAAACGGAAAAGTGCCCTTTGGGAGCCAGGACGACTCAGTTCTACTACGTGGCCTTGGACAAACCACAGGTCTGCCCCAGCCACCCCTTCACCATTTCCCAATTTGCAAGACGTGAGATTTTTGTTGAAGCTGGATGGGATCCTGCGGTGGAAAGGGGGGCAGGGGTTATAGGGCGTGTAAATTGGAGTAACAGAGTCATCCCAACCAAATAATCCCCAAGTCGTGTCATTTTACTTTCCTGAGTCCCATATCCACTACCCTAACTAACCCAAACCGCCAGCTCTCACTTGTCCCAGAATGATGACCTGCCCATAGAATGCCCTCAGTAAACAGGATTTCAGTGACTAGATAATCCCGATAAAACTCTCCTAGTCCGGAAACGTCCCAGGTCAAAGCCTCACATTGGCGGCTATTGCTCAGGGAGCTTCTGTAAGTGACTATCTCTAACAATGAAGCTCACTTTGCGGATCTCTTTTTGGGGCTCCCTCTGGGCTGATGTGACACTAACGCCCTCCTTTACCAGTTTATATTCCTATACCAGTTTATTTTTTTTATTTTTTTTTAACATTTATTTATTTTTGAGACACAGAGAGAGAGAGAGAGAGAGAGAGAGAGAGAGAGAGAGAGAGCATGAACAGGGGAGGGTCAGAGGAAGAGGGAGACATAGAATCTGAAACAGGCTCCAGGCTCTGAGCTGTCAGCACAGAGCCTGACGCGGGGCTCGAACCCACAGACCGCGAGATCATGACCTGAGCGGAAGTCAGACGCTTAACCGACTGAGCCACCCAGGCGCCCCAATTCCTATACCAGTTTATAGGCAACCTGGGCGTTGCGTGTCAAAGCCAAGCGCTCATCGATCTGAAAACTTGAGATCCAACCACCAGCTGCCACATTTCCAGCTTTATCCTACTTACTGTAATAGCAGGGTACCGGCTAGGTGCTTTGACTATCAATTCCAACAAATGAAACATCAATCTCAGCCCCCTCTCACTAATTATTTTGGCAAGTTATTTAACCTGAGACTAATGTGGGTAATAGTCCTTACCACATAGGGTGATGTGAGGAGAAAATGAGAAGTTGGGAAAGTACTTGGCCCAATGCCTGGCATCCAGGAAATTCTCCATGGCATTTGGAGGCATTCAAATTATAACCGATAGCTGTTTATTTAATACTATTTGCCAGGGCCTCTGCTGTGCTCTTTGCTTACTACACGTGGAAGATTTATTTTCAGGTTGGAGATTTTTAAATGTTTATATATTAAGTTGTTTTCTTTCTTTCTCTTTCTTTTTGAGACTATGCGATTGGGGGGGGGGGGGGTTAGGGAGAGAGAGAGAATCCCACGCAGGCTCTGCACTACCAGCACAGAGCCTGATGCGGGGCTGGAACCCACCAACAGTGAGATCATACCTGAACAGAAACCAAGAGTCTGACGCTTTACCGACTGAGCCACCCAGGTGCCCCTTAAATATTTATTTTTAATTTAGAGTATAAGTTTCATGAGACAGGGATTCTTGCCTGTTTTGTTTCTAATCAAATTCCTACAACAATGTCTGGGATATGATAGGCACGGAGAAAATATTTGCTGACTTTATGAAATAGACAATGAACAGCACAGTCCCTCACCCTATCTATCCCTACCCCAAAATTCCATTCCCTTGGGGCAAATTTTTCCAAATCTTCTTCCTAGAATCTTTCTGCACATTTCTAAATGACATATGTTCTCTTCATTTGTAGTTTCAGATATTTTAGCAACTGCTCTTCATTCACACATATACACGTCCAACTTCTCATAATTTCTGTCAGAGCACGGGTACCTGGCTGGCTCAGTCAATAGAGCATGCAACTCTTGATCTGGGGGTGGTGAGTTCAAGCCCTACATTTGGCCAAAAAAAATAAAACAAATAAAATTTCTGTCAAAACAATATTGAACATCTACAATTCTGTAAGTCTTATTTATAGCTAAGCCACATAGGGTGCTATGATTACCTTTGCTTTGGGGTAATCAATCCAGGTTGGAGAAGGATGGGGGAAAAGATAAAACAGAGTAGATGTGTTTGAACAAAGGGAAATTTACACTTGGCACTAAATTAATACTTACACCAGAAAATTATGCATGTGAAAAACAAGGCAATTATTAACTATAGGGAACAATAAAAAAAGTACAATTGCCAAAACAGCAAAAACTAGTATTTACTTTGTGCCTGGCACTATTCTAACATATGTGAAGCACCTGCAGAAAGCTTCATAATGCTTGCTTGCAATACAAGGAAAAGGAATTGAAGTTCTAGGTTCAGGTAGCGGCTAATTTTTTTTTTTTTTAATGTTTATTTTTGAGAGAGAGAGAGAGACAGGCGTGAGCAGGGGAGGGCAGAGAGGGACAAACAGAATCCAATGCAGGCTCCAGGCTCTGAGCTGTCAGCACAGAGCCTGGCACGGGGCTCTAACTCACGAATGGTGAGATCATGACCTGAGCGAAGTTGGCGGCTCAACCAACTGAGCCACACAGGCTCCCCTGAGGCTGATTCTGATTCCAGCCTAGTTTGTGCCCTTGGTAAGTAGCTTTTTTTGTTTGTTTGTTTATTCATTTTTTGAGAGGGGGATGGAGGGTCGGGGAGAGACACAGAACCCGAAGTAGGCTCCAACCTCTGAGCTGTCACCACAGAGCTGGATGCAGGGGTTGATTTATGAGCTCTGAGCCAAAGTCAGACACTTAACCGACTGAGCCACCCAGGGACCCCTGGTAGGCAGCTTCTTGACCTTAAACGTCAACTCTATGGACTGTTTCCCAAAAGAAAAAGCTGACTTTGCAGGACTGATGTAAGGACCAGAAGAGCTATTATTGCATGTAGAGTTTAGCACAATGCCTGGCCCATTTTAAGCCCCAATACAGAACAGCTGCTATTAAGAAGAGGGAATTTTCAACATGCTGTCAAGAAGGAAAACTCCAGTAAATCTAGTCCAAATGGACTTTTGTAGGGAAGAGTAGCAGACATACAAGTGCTTCTTTACAAAGAAAATATTATAATCAAAAGTGTGATTTCCCTTCTAAAAAGTCAGTTTCTAAGCAGTATAGTGCCTGTATCAAAACTAAAACTTCAGGATGCCTGGGTGGCTCAGTTGGTTAAGTGTCCAACTTCAGCTCAGGTTATGATCTCACCGTCTGTGGGTTTGAGCCCTGCATGTCAGGCTTTGTGCTGACAACTCAGAGTCTGGAGCCTGCTTCAGACTCTGTGTCCCCCTCTCTCTCTGCCCCTCCTCCACTTGCACTCTGTCTCTCTCTCAAAAATAAGTAAACATTTAAAAAAATGTATTGAAAAAAACCCAACAACTAAAACTTCAGGGGTGCCTGGGTGGCTCAGTTGGTTAAGTGTCCGATTCTTGATTTGGGCTCAGGTCACCATCTCGTGGTTTGTGGGATTGAGCCCTGCCTCAGGCTCTGTGCTGATAATGCAGAGCCTGCTTGGGATTCTTTCTGCCCCGGCTCCACTCGTGTGTGCACACGTGCTCTCTCTAAACATTAAAAAAAAAAAAAAAGCCCTAAAACTTCAAGGGGGAAAAAATCACAGAATACATTTTATTTTACATCATATTCATTTTTCAAGTTACTAACATCCAAAAAGAATCCTTCTGGCAATAATAAAAATTTCCTGTTATACATATAACAGACCTTCTATATCAGCATTGTTCATTATAAAAATGTTCTGTTTGCATAGCCCAATACTAGCCATATAGGACTACTGAGGACTTGAAATGTGGCTAGTGCAACCAAGGAATTTTAAATTTTTACAACTTTTGATTTAAACGTAAATAGCCACGTGTAGCTAGTGACTACCATATTAGGTCGGCTGTATGATTTGGTTGCTTAAATACCTGGGAAAATCTACATTAATACATACAAGTCGTCTTAAGAGTTATTGTGCAGTTAATCATGTTTAATCAATGATGTCAGCTGTTAAAAATGATACAACAGCAAGCTTTAGCATAAGTATCTATAGGTATGCACTGTACTCAAATCTTGGTTTGGGATTAGGATATTAAAAGATCCATTCCATGTCTCTTACATTATGCAGCATAATTTTTAAAAAATCCAGTGATTCCTGAAACATAAATACCTAAGCAAAAATCAATCACCTCTTTTTCTTTTTTGATTTGTATGAAACAGCCACACCAACAGCTGACTAGCCTATTCTAGGACATCATGATGTCACTTAAGTCCTAGCCTTGACCAGGTGCTTAGGTGTGGGTTTATTCTGCTCTTCCCAACACAGGTGCTCCCTTAAAAAAAGCAGGGAGTATGTAGAAAACAAGTGGCCTGTTTTATAAAACTTTAAATTTATTCAAAGTGTTAAAAGAGTTCACTCTCCCCTCCAAAATACTTTACATTAAAAAAAAAAAAATCAAAACTGTTTTCTATTTCCTCAGCCACTGTACAAGCTGCTGCTTCCCTTTCTGGGCACAAGCCTCTGCCCCCTTTCCCCTCCCTCCCTTCACTCTCAGTATTGCTTTAAATTTGTTTATAAAACCCTCCTTCCCCACTCCCCCCATGTCCTGCCCTGCAGATGTAGCTTCCTTTCCAGATTTCAGGCCCTTGGCTGCAGGTAAGGCATGTTGGATGGGCAGAATTCTCAGGCAATACC